TGCTAATCCTCCATCTGTCAAGTTAACCTCCCATCCGCCCGACCTTTATCCCGTTATCGACTCGGCCATTTTTTGTGGAACTGCCCGCCCTGCCGGTCGTAGTGGCTTTAACTTCTTGGTACTACCTTTCTTGGCCGCCCTTTTTTTCCTTCTCGGCCTTTCCGGCGTGGGCGTGTCTCGTGCGTGTTGAGCGGGTATGTGATTCAGGCCCAGCGTCAATTGGTTCCACTTTGCAAGCTACTCCACGTTCCGGCAGAGGCTGGCCTGGGACTTGCCATGCCTGGGGGGTATGCATTAAAATCGGCGCTGCGCGTTCCCTATTGGCTTGTCGATGGCTTAGCTTCAATTCATGCAGAGAAGTGAGCGCGCTACACTGTGGCCAGCAGGACAAGGGCAGGGGTAAACATCCTTGACATGGGCTTATTGGACGCCTCCTTCGAATCGACGTGGCCCAAGCAGGGGGGTAGGTTTCCATCCTCTCGTCTGCGGGGTGGGGCGGCGGGTCGGCCAGAACGCTTTTGGGGCGTAACGGTTACTTCGTTCTTCTTCCGGTGTGTAACACCCCACGGGTCAACGCCTCCCAAACAGGAGCTAAAAGGCTGGGAAGCCATCCGGAAAAGGATGACAGCGTGGCAACCAGAAGCCTCGACAGGATTACAGCGTGGCAACCAGAGGCTTCGAGAGGATTGTAGCGTGGCGACAGGATGCCTCTACGGCATCATGTATAAGTAGAGCTTGCAAGATCCCCTGTCAAGGGAACTGGAGGGCAAGCAACCGTTTTTTGTTGGTCTTTGGTGAGATTCGGAATTGATCACTGAATGCACTACACCCTTGCATCTCCTCCAAGATAGCTGAGTGACCTGAACCTCTGAGATCTCCCCTGGAGAACCCCCTCCCCAGTGCACAGCACGTTACACGGTGGCCAGTGGAGTTTGCGATTGAGTGATTTGCGAGGCGAGGCGAATGTATCTTTTGGCTTTCGTGACCCTACTGTGTTCCATTTTGGAACTTGCAACCAGGATAGGGGGGGGGGGGTTTGTCGACGTGGGCCAGGGCGCTGCGAGCATGACGGGGAGGTTCACAGACGCTTGAGGTGGAGATACCAACACGGCCAAAAGGTTGCAGGCCGACTGCAGGGCGCGGTGCGAAGGCACATACATGCCTGACACCCCAAGCTGGCCGGGCTCGACGGCGCATATACTGGGATAAGTGTTGGAAGGGCACCTCGTGATCGCACAGGAACTGGCGTCCAAGGTCAGGAGAATTTTGGTCCGGAAGAATTCACGCTCTAGATCCGGGCTCCATACTGGAGCCGGACGGACAAGCACACCGGACCGTGCACGTGGCCTCCGCACTCGGGGCGCGGAGCGCCCCGAACAACACGTCCGCGTTCCGTTCTGCTCCCTCTATAAAAAGGGAGCAGAGAGTCGTTGTACGACTCTCTCTTGTACTTAGAAAAAACAGGACAGCTTTTAGATATTTTGCAATGCAACTAGAAGTCTTTCCCACCCGACCTTAAGAGGCTGTCCACGAACACCGGGCCTGGCAAATTTCGGTGCTTTAACAAGTGCACGGACGAAAAAGTGTGGCCATTGGCCACACTTTTTCGTCCGTGCACTCAATAGTGGGGCTCTCCGCAAATCTGAACTAACCACAACGCTGTCACGGCTACCAAGGGGTGTAGCGACCACGTGATTAGCACATGGCTTTACCCCGCCATAGATAGATATCCCCGCATCGCGAGGCCCGCAGGGTAGATTCCTTGAATGAACGACCTTCCGCACCACTAGTTTATTGGCCCCCATATGGCTCTAACAAATACCCCCTGCGTTCACTCGCTCTGTCCTGATTCAACCTGCGCACCACTCCAGCCGTTCAAATTATTCGCCAGCAGCTCGAGAACCCGGTCGATATGTGTCGTATCTGGCTCACGACCAAGGGTCTTTAGAATCATGGTTCGAAATTCGCTGCCCATGGCCGCAAAGATTTTGGCTTTCAGGTCGCTGTCGAGCTTGTCGCGCAGTTCTGCTATTTCGTCATCCGCCAATCTCTCAAGATGTCCCAGGGCAGCACTGGAACTCGTTAGAGTAGCACAAGACATGAATGGCAGATAGTCCTCGCCTATTTTCAGAAACTTGCGCAATCGTTTCAACTTGCTCCTGAATGCGTCGTCCGAAAGCTTTGTGCGAAGGCCGGCTCTGACTTTGTCGGAGAGTGCTGTTGGTAATTGTCTCACCCTGGATCCGTTATACATGCCCCCAGGCACAATATCGTACAACTTCTTGAGGCCATGGGTTGCCAGTAAAGCGCCCACTATTTTGCTGATTTCTGCTTTTTCTTCCCAATCCCACCCAAGTTCCAGGTACTTGGATCCCTCAGACGTGGCATCGTGGGGTTGGGTTTGCTTGTTGGCCAAGGTTGGCAAGACGGGTGAAGAGTGCCATTCTTTCCATGATCTTGCGTAGCGCATGATCCGCTCTATTGCGTGTGGGCCAGTTAACTCCTCTGCTATGGCCTGGGAAGATGGAGTGTTTTTTTTCTGCTTCGCTGGCGGCTCGTCTTGCAGCCCACCTTGCCTGTTCTCTGGTTCGTGTGATTTGGAGTTTCTTTGTCCAGTGTGTCTTGCTAACCCTGGCTCGCCTGTGGAGCGTTTCCTCTTCTGGGGGCCCCTTGGGGAGCCCATAGAATTCTTGGCAGGCGCAGGGAGCAAAGTGGCGATTTGCCTTGAGGACCGCCGTACGGCAGAACCAGCCTCACCAACAGGGATAATCTCTGCCTCGGAGGGAAAGACTAGCTCGCGCGTAATTGGCTCTTGGTCTTTGTGGCAGCGTTCATCGCAAGGCTTGTACATCTTCGGGAAAGTGTACAGCCGATCGGCATAGTTGACGGCTTCAGCCAGAGTGTCCGTAACGCTGAATCCAGAGTGGTAGGCGCCCGGGTAGACGATAACCATCTCCCAGGGCTCCTGCATAAAACCTATCGTCGAAACGCCCTTATTCCGCAGGTGCTCGATGCCGCCGTGCAACGCTTGGTGCCGCAGGAATTGGTCATGGTCCGCCTTGGCCCCCAGTGCGTTGCTGAACACACCAGTTGCTTTATTGGATGATGCTGGCTCGGTAACAAACCAGACTTTCCGCCCGATGTAGAGAAGATTGATGGCGCCCAGACTCAAGTCTTCCAAATGCCACGCAAATGGTGCGCTCTTCGTTCCTCGGTAAGCAGTCGGAGTATGGAGCCCGGGTACACAGGGGCGCCCAGGTACACCTTCCCGAGGAAGTTTGTTATCCCGGATGTGCCAGATTGGGCTTTCCGGGGGTAGGAGAGCATCTTCGCGTTCTTGGGCAGAGTGTGCTGGGATGTCCGTCAGGTAAGCAACACCCTTGATGCTCTCCGGATCCTCTTTGGAAGCTTCTGAGATGCGTCTCTCATGCTCACCGACGGCGACAGTAAGACCAGAACCGACACCGCTTGTATCGCCGTCCAAAGAGGGAAGGGTTTGTGTTTCGTACACGGTGTAGAGTCGCCAAAAGTCGTCCTTTACCGGCATCGGCCTGTAGGTTGTACACTTTTTTGTCTGAGCTGGCTGTGGAGGAAGCACTGGTCGACACTCCTCCGGGATTTTGATAACGACTGCACCCCGATTTCGTGCTCCAAGATTCTCAGCAACAGTAAAAAGCAAAGGCCTTCTATCTTCTGGACCTTCTTTAAGGTCCGAATATTGGTCCAGTGATGGCTCGAGCACTAAGATCTTGTCGCCTTCGCAAGGCCTCCATTGGTATTTCACGCCCTCATGGAAAGTAGCCGGGTTGTTGTTGCCTTGGCCGGAAGGGGGCGGGGGAACTAGTGTGGATTGAACTTGGGGAGCCGCGTCGACCTGGGAACGCGTTCGACCGTTAGGGAGCTGTTTTCTGGTTGGTCTGAATGTGGCCGAAGTGAAAGGTGCAGCCGAGGAGTGCTCGATTATGACTTTGTCACCGTGCTGGCCCTCGGAATCCGATAAGGCGGCGGCCAAAATTCCGGCCGTGGCTCGGCCCTTGTGATGGCTGATTGACTGCGGCGAATGGTCTGCTGCCCGCGTTTCGGCTCCAGAACGGCTGCTTGGGGAGTCGGCGTCGAGCATATCAATTTCGGGGCTTCCTTCGGGATCGACACTTGATGCAGTGTGAATATCGGCCAGCGGTTGGCCGTCACTGGGGGGGCCGCGACTAGATACGCTGGCGGGGCTGGAGGGGCTGCCGCTACTCCCCGCTGACCCGCTGTTTGCCGTTGGTGGAGCAGCAGTTGAGATAGGCAGGGGGCCTGCACCGGCTTCGTCGTGATCGTTGCTGGGGTCTCCGCCGGCGTTGCTGTCAGGCACGGCCTGAACGGAGTCGTTACTAGCTGGAACTGCCTGCCCATCCCGCGTCGGCGCTGGGAGGGACACAAAGGCAAGGGCAGGCGGCTCGGCTGCTGGACTTGGCGGTGGCACGCCTGGCCGCTTCTGCTGTTCAGCAAGCTTGGCATTTTCCTCGGCTTCTTTTTTTAGCCGTTCGACTTCGGCTTGCAATCGCTTGTTCGTCTTGTCCGTCTCGGCGAGCAGTCTCCTCATCCGCTTATCCTCCTCGTCCTGCTCCTTGGCCTGCAGCTGTTGCTCGAGCCGCGCGACCTCGTTCTTCAACTGGGAGACCTCAGAATCCGCCTCGCGAGGTTCATAGCCGAACTGACTGCCATCCTGCTTGGCCTGCGGCTGCCGTTTGAGCTGCGCGAGGAACGGTGTGAGTAGGTAGGACAGTTTCTCCTGCGGAAATGATGCAAGTAGTGTTTGCAACTGTTCTTCCTTCTGCTGTTCTTGCACCTGTTCTTCCGCCTGCTGATGGAGGCCTTGATTGGTGATGGCGGCGGCGCGCCTACCCGCGGAACGGCTGGCTGACTTCGTGGCATTCAGAAAGGCCCGAGCCTCGGCTGGCAATTGCTCAAACTGAGCTTTCGTTAGCGTGAAGTTGACTAAATCCTGTGATTCGGCTGCCATGGGTGTCGAAAATGGCTCAATCAACTGCAAATGTGCGAAAGAAAGGAGAGCGGCGCGACACGACGCGACAGGCCCAACGGCAGCCCTGTGGACTGAAGCAAAGTGGGCTGTCTTCTACAAACCACGGGAAATGGTCCGTGTCTGGGGCACGGGCCATAATTACACGTGATAACCGCCCTGGAGCTTTGCAATTCGGG